TTAGAGAAGGAACACATTTATTAGATTCAAACTGAAAACCTTACATCACCACAAAGTATAATCGAAATAAAGTTGTAGGAAATACACTAAACTTAGACTATTGCCAGAAAACTCTTATGATAAAGCTTACAATCAGTATAGGACAACATTTTTCCTCGCGGCAATTCAAGTTTTTACTTCTCTATGTATGTTTTCTGTCTCTGCTTATATTGTAACTAGTTTTTCGACACGTGTGATTACCAATTAAGAAAATATATGTTATAATAAATAGTATTGCTTTTTTAAGCGAAGATTTGAATAATTTGCTTTGCACAAAATAATATTGTAGATTCTTTTGTGAATGTTCAATGTGGATATCATATATATCTCTTATTCACTCATGCAAAGCTATGGAGATGGTCAATGATAAAATTTTCAAGTTAAATGTAATAATGCATATATATTTATTTCAATTTGATGAGGTTCAATCATGCAATTAGTCGTATCTCACTAATATTACCTTATAGACGATATTTGTTGTGTATTTTTCTTTGTCATTTATCAGTATTTCGTACATATTTTCAAGACGCAGAAGTGTAGGAAATGGTGTTTATTATAAGAGTTTCCGGGCAATATCCTAATTTTAGTGTGAGTTTTTAAGTTATCAAATGGTGTTTTTAGTTGTGTTGGTAGCATTGTCGAAAATGTTTTTATACTTTCTGGTAATGTTAGTTTTTCAGTTTGAATCTATCTTAGCCCAACTTGTTGAGTAAATAATAGTGTCCTTTTAACAACTTATATTTTTAGATGATATGAGCACACACATGTTTTGGTAATACGTCCGATGAAATTGGAATGATCATAGAAGATTGATAGCAATAATACTGCTAAGGGAATAAGATGACTAGTTATTAACTTTCTATCCTTATTCTCGACCTTCATATTTTCCTATTTGAAGTTATGTCTTCGATAAGTTATAGAGTTATGTCTTGTCTAATCACCTATTTCGAGTCTTCGATAAGTTATAGAGTTATGTATTGTAATCACCTACTTCGAAACATCTTCAGTGAGTAAAACATTAGTCATTCATCTATGCAATCCTTATTGCCTGTAAGTCTATTGTTTCCAAACTTTTCATTATTTAAGCAACAAAAAAGGGTAAAAATCGTCTTAAATTATGTGGAATTGAATAAAATTGTCCCCAGTTAATAATTAAGTCCAAAAATGTCATTGTAGTTAATAATTTAGACCAAAAGTTTATTTATGGGAGTCTTATTTCATAATGTTATTCCCTTTAATTTACTTTTTATCTCCAATAAAGAACAAAATACAATTGAGATTTTGTATCGAACAACATATCTTTAGTTTAATACTATAAGATTCAAAAAAAATCTCCATTTTTAAAAACTTGCTACCAAGTCAAAATCACACAAACCAATAAAAACTAAGGGAATGATATATTTTATAATAATTCTTAAGATATTATTCATTAACGACAATCAAAACTCATTTTCTATTCTACTATATTTCTACTATATTATAAACTACTCATTCTCTATTCTACTATATTATAAAAGAGAGTTTAGGCCCAAATATAATATATAATATTCAAGATTGGGACTTTTCTCAATCTTGAATATTATATATTATACTTGTGGGACTTTTAAAAGGAAGTTTCTTGAATATTATATATTATATTTATTATATAGTAGAACTTGGGCATAAACTCCCTTTTAAATGGAAGTTTCTTGAATATTATATATATATATATATATATATATATATCTCACAAATGGAAAAGTCCCAATCAAGGAAGCAACATATATCATTTACAAATGACTTAAAAAGTATTAAAAATTACAATAATTACCAACTTAAAATATTTAAAAGCTATATAATAATATAGGTTGACTCTCAGAATTCTATTAGGCTCACATATATTGGGACATAAAAAATAACACATATCATTTTAATATTACCAAAAAAGTATTATAAATAATAATAATTAACAACTTAAAATATCTGAAAGACATTTTAAAAGGGTTAATTTTGTAATTTTATCCATATCACATAAATTAGGACAAAGTGACCAGTAATGTACATTATTTCAAAGTTACATAAAAATATTATAAATCACAATAATTAATAACTTCAAACATTTTTTTAAAAAATATGAAAATTTGGATGACTCTCCAAATTTCATTTGTGAACATAAATTGAGACAACAAAAATAACATACATTGGCTCCATTTTAATTTATTTGTCTTATTTTTTTTTTATATTTAAAAATTGCGTAAAAATACTATAAATCATGATAATTGACAACATAAAATATGTTTTGAAAAAAAATACAAAAAATTCCACTGATTCTTGAAGTGAATCTATCGTAAAAATACTATAAATCATGATAATTGACAACATAAAATATTTCAAAAATATTGTATGTGGTAGTCTTATTATGCCTTAAATAGCGTCAAAGAAAGTACAGGTTTGTGATAAAAAAAAACTTATTCCTTTATCCACGCAAACAATCGCTTTAAAAACTCTGTTATTAGCCCCAAAATATACCATTTATATTATTGGGCCCATGCATAGCACGGGCAACATTATCTAGTATCTATATAAGCAATAGAAAATAAGAGAAAAGGGATATTTAAATATACAAGCATATGCACACACGTACATACATAAAATATGTATACATACTTAGGGCCCGTTTGGCCATACGAGATGGAATCATGATATAGAATCATGATATGAAATTATGAGATGAAATTGAAGTTTTGTTTGGACATGCGATATGAAATTTTTGTATTGTATATTTTCTTATAAACATAAGAATCTCATAAGTTGTAAAATTATTTTAAAATGCCTCAATTGTTTATTCAATCTTATAATGAAATATTTTATATATAAAATCGCATAATAAATTATTACAAAACTATTTGTTCTCCACTTAAGTAATTGTTTCATCAAACTTAAATTCAATCAAAAAATTGAACATAAATTGTAGTGTACTAGTCTTTAATACAGTCAGTGGCGGATCCAGGATTTAGACTCCGTGGGTGCCAAATAGAATTATCGATTAAATTAATTTTATATTTAATTAAATTATTCGTCTTTTCGATATAAATTAATTTTAGTTCTCTAATTTCTTAAAAGAACGTGTGCAGCAATTTCATTTTTCTTAAAAAAACGTCATTCTCAAAAAATTAGGTACAAATGGGATTTGAACCTTCAACATCAGCCTTCTAAAGTTGCCCTCCTACCGTGGCACCACAAGCCAATTTTGTTCTGTGGGTGGCACGCTTTATATAAATATAAATATTATATACATATACCTATGTATATATAGAGTTTCCGTCGAAGTTCGGGGGTGGCGTGGCACCCCCACACCCCTTAATAGATCCGCCTCTGAATACAGTCCCCTACATAGTACGGACAATCTCCACACGTTGAACTTGCATTTCTCGATCTTATGACCGAGAAGACAAACCAACATTGTTACTTTGAGCTATTTGTTGGTCAATATCATTCGCAACTATATTTTCATGCTCATAGACCATAAAAATTTCATCACTCCTTTGGTATTCTCCAAATAATTATGTAATATTGTACAAGCTATGACAATGTTATGTCAATATCATAATGGTTCGTGCATTAATTTCGTGCTTAACTCAAACATATTGGAAGTAGTGACTATCAAACATACATCACCAATTTTGCTCTTTTTCATATTGAATTGCTTTAAACATTTTCATATGTAGCCGAAAGAGAAGTTTTTTTTTTATTATGAAAAACAAAAAAAGTATTACTCCCTCTGTTCTTATTTATATTCACCAAATTAATTTCTACTTTATCATTTATATTCACCAAATTTAAAGTAATAAATTTTTTTATGTTTGTGAGAATAATAAATTTTAAAAAGTAATGATGTGGTTATAAATTTTATTTACATATACAATAATTGGTCCGTAGATAAAAATGTGGTGTTGTTTTAACAAAATATAAATTTCTGGGTCAATTTTTGTATTTAAAAAATCTCAAATCATGATATGAAATTCTCAAATCATGATTTTTGGAGAATATGGGATTCCATCTCATGATATGAAATCAGTGAGAAATCGCATGTCCAAACGTTGATTCCATTTCACAATTATGATATGGTATTGCATGGTCAAACGCCTACTTAATCTGTGTATATTAAAACAACAATCATGAAATAATAACATTAGAACTTATAATAAATCAATAAAAAAAATATTTTGCTTATAATACTAACGAACTTAAATTAAAATCTATAATAAAATATAAAATTATTTAAACTACAAATCGAATACCAAGATTAAAAAAATATAATATAAAATTTTATTTTATTTTATTTTATTTTTTACTCGGAGTTCGACACCCACATTGAAGTCCAACTATTCTGGATTCGCGCCGCGTAAAACTTCCTTAAGGAAAGAACAACTCTTTTGGTAGTATATCAAAACTATTCAAACATACCACTGAAATTTCATATTTGAGGTCTGAGGAAGATATAGTACCGTAGATGATATATATACTGATTGAAAATAAAATTGTACATGAATATTAACTTCCTTTTCTATGTGCAAATAAAATAATTCCAAATTAATCTTTTTTTCTTCTACTAATAATAGTATTTCCTCCATTTCATATTAATTTAAGTTTTGAGGTGTTTCACATCCTTTAAGAAAAGTAGGCTAGGATATAAATTAAACATAATTTTCCATTTTTACCTTTATTAATTATTGTCAAAAATAACTAAACATTAATTATAATAACTAATTCCAATACTAACTTAAAGGGTAAAATTGAAAGAATATTTTAAAAATAGCCTAGAAGATTGAAAACTTAAGTTAATTTGAAAAATGAAAAATGAATTAAAACTTAAGTTAATATGGAATGGAGGGAGTATTTATTTTGATGGTGCTTGCTTAATTACAGTTACACACACGATTTGTTGATTTATTATCAAACCTACCCATAAATCACCAAAGAGAAAAGCGCCACTACACAAAACTGCAAAAACCGCCTCTCTCACTTGAACAACAGCAGCAGCCAGAGCAAGCTATGGGGAAAAGCGATGATTCCATTCAGAGAAGGAAGAATAAGAAGACTAGAAAGAAGCAAGATGACAAGGTCTCTAATCGTATCGCCGGAATTATTGCTGCTAAGAAACGTCGACTCTCCGGCAAACGCCGTATGTGTGAGGTAAATTTCATGTTATATGAACTCACTTTGTCCATTTGGGTGTTGGGTTTGTTGATTTTTAATGTGATATTTCGTTAAGTATCTGGGAATGTTGTATTGACAAATGGGTGTCGAGAAAAGATTATGGAAGTTGTGTGTTTTGAGGAGTTCTTTTGTAAAGCTGTTGATGCGAAAAGAGAGGGATTTGAGGAAGAAAGAGGAAGATTAAGGTTTTGTAGTGTTGTAATGGTGTTTTGAGGAACTGGGTTTTCTTTATTTGTATGCAAAAGTAGTGTTTTGAGTAGCTTTTTTGTGAAGCTGTTAATGATAAAAGAGTGGACTTTGAGGATGAAAGAGGAAGATTCTCGTTTTGGTATAATCAAATGGAGTTTTAAGGAATTGGGTATTCTTTATTTGTGTGCAAAATTAGTGTCTTGAGTAGTTCTTTTTGTGAAGCTGTTAAATGTGAGGACTTTGAGGAAGAAAGTTCTAAAGAATTGTTTTCTTCATTGGTTAGGAATTGAGAAATGTCTTGGAATTCATTTACTTAGTGTGATCTTGTTGGTGGTGTATCTTATGGAAGTGCATTTGTTTGATTATTGAATGCTCCATGTCTCTTTCATTCATGTATGTTCATGCCAGTTACAATCGAAGTTTTGCACTTCTTTTTCGTCATGTGAAACTGCCAAGAGGAAAATTCTGGACTTAGATTAAGTGGTACTGGAATGGATCTACACATTTATAAATATATGATTCCTATTTTAATTTGTCACAACCAGCCCAATGGTGCTAATTTATGTTGTGTTAATTTTGCTGTTTTTTCTTACCTTTCCATCGACAGGGAATGTGCTATAGTTTGCCTACACCTGAGGATCCATTCAATGAGAGGCATGGGAAAGTTGATCTTGTGAAGAAAAAGAAGAAGCAGAACCTGTCGAAGAAGGGCAAGAACCCTATTAAGAAGACTAGTTTACCACAAAATTCTGACAAATTAAAGGAAGAGTTCCACATGCATGCTCCATCTAAGTTCTTAATTCTCTGTTTGAAAACCATTCAGGATGGCCTTCAGCAGGATGGAGCCTTCAATGGTGGAGAGGAAAAGCCTTTCTTCGTCCATACATGGGGAATTGAATTCTGGAAATATTTTACCAGTGGCAAAGATATAATTGGTACAAATCAAGCCCATGCTACAACTGAGCAAATTGCTTGGGTTGCAGCAACAACTGCTGATGCCATATCAAGAAAGGAGAAAGAAGGTCTATCAATTAGCAACCCCTTCCTTTTATTCCTTGTTCCCTCCCAAGAGAAAGCTGTCAAGGTTGGTGCAATATTCTCCAAATTTTCTTTGCTTCCATTGTTTGTAATATGTTCAACACAACATTGTGAAAGTTGTATTGATTTCTAATGGTATGGTTGCTAAATACTACGTAGCTATTTTCTTAAGCTAGTTGGACTTTTGATAGCAAGTATTTCAGCAGAAAGTCTTGATTTTTGGATAAAAGGTCCTTAGAAAATCTTGTGTTGTACAGAATTTCTTTATGCATCTCCTACTTCTTTTAGTAAAATGATTAAGATTTATTATCCAGAGCAGTTTATCCTTCTCCATGCATGTATTCTTCCTGTGCTTACATTATAATTTAGGTAGATGTTCACTAAGCTGTAAGTTCATGTGTGAAAATTTATATGGATATCTACAAGTATCCTTCTATGCCTTGTGGTATCTTAATAAACATTTCAATCGTTCCTTAGGTGCGGAAAATATGCAAGCCTCTGAAAGCTCTTGGAATACATACAGTGAGTCTGCATCCTGGTGCTTCTATAGACCACCAAATTCAGGGGTATGATTTCCCTGTAACTTCTCTATATTTGAGGCTATTAGTCCTCAAGGTTGATTTGTTTGTCTATTGCTTGAAAGATGAAAAATAATTTTTTCAGAATCTTGACTTATTGCTAACTTTCCCCTGATTAGCATATGATTTGTTCTGTTAATAATAAGATGTAGTTATTATTATGGTCGATAAATAATTGTGTGCATGTGCCATTAGCCCTCATTGCAACAACTTCTGGTTGGGTGACTTAACATGTGGTTATGTGTTTCTACTTGCTTGATCTGTAAAAGTAACCTACCTTGGCTTCTAAGTTTCTTTTCCTTATTGAATTGGCTCTAGTTGCAATTAGTAACTACTGCTTACTACTTTTTATTCCCATTTGCTTTTACACATGCTGACTTTTGTACTTGTGTGCTTTCCAGCCTTCTGTTTTCTTTTGAAGAAATTCACTATCTTCCCTGTTTTTATATGATTACACTTTTTGTTGACAGCCTGAAGAACTGTGAGCCCGAGTTTCTTATTTCTACTCCTGAAAGACTTCAAGAACTCCTCTCACATGGTGCCATTAAAACTTCTGATGTTTCTTTCCTGGTAATTTTGATTATTTTGCATTTTACTTATGTATTGATTTTATCTTGGATCTTTTGTCCTTCTATCACTGTTTTCGTATTTAGGTAATAGGAGTGAAAGGTGGAAACTGGTTTACTGTGCTCTCTAGTTAACACAAGAACTTCTCTTTTTTCCATTTCCATACAATTTCTAATTTAAAAAAAATTGTTTTGTTATTTTGGCAAAAGTTAGTTTGAGTGCCTAGCAATTTTCTTATTGTCTTCTCTGTAAGGGGAAAAAAGAGAAACAATTTATTCTCACAATGGGGTAAGCTTCAAGAAAGCAAAAGGAATTGCAGTAACAAATTGAAATAAGAACAGGTAAGTGAACACCTTGTGCAAGAACCACAAACTGGCATATAGCTAAAATAGAACGGATCTGGATAGAAAGCAGAATTTGGATAAGGTTTTCCCTGTAAATAGCGAGACAAACTGGCACTCAAATTATGTATTGCTCTGCGGAAAACGAGTAAAGGAAACTAATATAAGTATACAATACATATTTTCCATTTTTAGTGCGTGGAGAAAATGGAAGGTTTTGAAAGTTTTTCTAAACAACACCAACCAGATTTAAGGGCCTCTTTGATTTGGTGAGCCTGCCTGATTCCATTTAAGTTACATTTTCAGTTAACCACATAATTTTTAGGTGAAAGTAATTGATATTAAATTAGTTATTCTACAATCACTTGTTTCAATAATCAGAATCAAATTTACATGCAAACCAAACAGGCTCTTCATTGGGAACTTAATATCCCTCGAGGACTATCCAGGTTAAAGGCTAGTATTATGGTGGCAGTCTCCAAACGATAGGCATAGATTTGATTCCCACAATTCCTCTTCTCCTTTCCAGTCCCCTACATGATAAAATATCGAAAAACAAAAAATTTCTGTAGGTCTCTCTCTCCTCTCTCATTTGGTTTATTTCCAATTCTATGGTTGGCATTACTCTGGTTTCCTCTTTCTGTTAAACTTTGACGTTTTCTTGTTATGATCCATTCAGGGTTTTCAACATTTTCGCTTGATTTTTCCCTTTTCTAATTGTGGACAGAGAATTTGGGTCCTGCCTTGTATACTGATTTTTAAAAAAAGTTGAATCTTGCCTTGTAATTGAGATTATTCATTGTTATCTCTTGTAGAGAGATTTAGGATGTTATACTTTTGGCAGTTATGCCACTATCATGTATTCTCTTATTTGATTATATGGTCCAGTCAGACTGGTGTTTGGAGGTTATATTCATGATCTCTGAGATGGATATGCAAGATGTATATATGGCATTTACGTCACTAGCATTACGTGTTCCCATTCGGAGATTACTCATGGTAGTCTTTGTATTTCAGGTCATCGATGGACCTCTTACTGAGACAGGTTATGTTGATGCGGTTGAATCCATTGCAAAATCTATTTCTGGAAAGCCACAAATACTGGCTTTCAGTGATTGCTCAAATTCTTCATCCAATTTTCTTATGAAGAAGAGTGTTGGAGAATCAATCTGTAGAATACCGCTTGATGATCCAGTAAATGGTCATAACATGGCTTGAGATATTTGTGCTTCTAAGTTGTCAAAGGTATGTCTTTATCTCTGAAACGTAAATTCTGCACTTCACATTTTAGAGTGGAATACATTAGTCAGTTAAGATATAAGTTGTTGTTTTGGTTTGTTTAATTTTGCAAAGACTCTTTTTACCGTGATCTTTGTGTGCAAGAAGTTATCTACTTATAATTTCTAACTTAATGAGAATTTGGATTGTAGCAACTTTATAGTCGTCTATGCCCATCTAACTTCACATAACTTTTGAAAAATTGAGTTTGCTCTATGTTGTTCCCAGATCTGCCTAATTACCTAAGCTATCTGTCTTAATGACCGAGGGTACATCGGAAACAACCTCTCTACCCCCAAGGTAGGGATAAGGTCTGTAAATCCCCTCCTCAGATCCCACATGTGGGACTGTACTGGGTATGCTTTTGTTGTAGTTGTCTTAATGAATGGTTTGTGAGTTGTGATATTGGTTCACTACGAGTTATATTTGAACCTTAACAGAGGATAACTGGTAAGATAAATGGGATTAAAATTAATAAGGAAAGGACAAATGCAAGGGGAAAGGGAAATTAAAAGAGAAAGATGGTTAAAATATAGCAGCTCCTGCACTCGCCACTAGTCAAGCAGACAAGCAGTACTGATCTTTTGGCTTCACAATATAGCAGCTCCTTTGCCCCGAAAATAGTCTAGTTCAAGGTGGAAGCAGCTATATAGACTAGTGTAATCTATTTTACGATCGTGCTATGCAAGCAGAACATAAATATGCTAATGGATCGACAAAAACAGTAGTTGCAGGTATTGACCAGTTGTCTATATTAGATCTTTCTTGTTAGCTTTTAAAGTACTTTGAGTTAAGAGTAAATTTTCCATACTTTTGACGAATGTGCTCCTTTTTATGTTCAACTTCTCGTTCATATAGTCTAATATTTGCCTCCCCACTTCTTTCCACAGACAAACGGGGCATGTTGTCCTTGCAGTTGATTACACAGCTTCTTGCGGAAGTAGTTCAAACTCATCATCGTTACAGATCCTCTGGCGTCATTCAACTTAATAGAAGGAAGTTCTATAATTGTAAACTTCTTCCATATCACGGTGCTGCTTCTTTTCACATTCGTCTGCAAAATTCTTTGTTATAGAGTAGATGTGTTCGAGACATCTTAGATGGAAGGTTCATAATGTTGTGTTAGGAGCGGAAGTCAATTGTAACCATGGTGTGTTGTGTTCTGGGAATAGCCTAACTGGAGAATTGCAAGAGATGCATATAACCATTTTACTATTTGAAATCTTTTGTTAGTTTCTTATATCATCTCTTTTTTCGTCTATTTGCTCGAGCTTGTTCATGAGGGAATGTAAATGTTTTCCATGGACAATGTTTTACGTTATAAATCATTTCTTGTTAATCTTCAAGTGTTTTCGTGTAGCATCGAAATTCACAAAGTTTAGCAGACTCGGGATCAAACTTCAGGCTCAAGGAGTTTAGGAAGTTAGACTTGATCAAAACTACTTGCTAATTCAAAATGCAGATAAAAAATACAAGGTGATTTTGTCCTAGTCTCGATCGACAGTGTCACTTGGTATCTGTTGCTAGTGGGAGATGACAGGTATCCCGTGGAACGGGTCGAGGTGTACCGATATATTCTAGGCAATTGAATTTCATTTTCATTCCAGACCATAAGGAAAGCGAATTGCCAAAAGTACTAGTACTACTTTTTGTTTTAATAAGATAAACTTTAATATTTTGAGTATTTTATTTTGACTATATAAAAAAAAGAGTTTGATGCAAATGAATCTTGTGACAATATGTGGATAAATATGTGTCACTATTTGTTGTGGCATGAAACACTCCAAAGTGCACCCAAAAGTGACATGAAATTTATTTATTTATTTTTAATGATATAAATAAGCTTTAGATATGTATGTGTGATAAATTCTTTTATTAAGGTTAAAATAAAAATAAATATTTATCATTTTTAAATATAGAAATCCGATATTAATTTTAGAACATACTAAAAAAAGAAAGTGTGAATACAAATTGATCAAACTAATGGATTACAATTTACAGACAAATGAATTATTCTCATTTTTTCACAAACATTGTTCACATGTCTTGAAGATATATATTTATAAGATTTTTTGAGTTTTGTCATTTAAATTCTTTACGTTCTTCACATTTTTCCTATGTATTATTTTAAATAACAATATTATCATATTTTGCTATCTCTAACCAACTTTTCAGCTAAAATGACTGTAGCAATAATGACTAGTTAGGGGGTAGTATGGTTTTTAAAATTTATTTCCTTAGTAAAGTTGAATGAAATACAATTAGCGATAAGCTATCTATGAGCATCATGGTTAGATCGATCTGTTAAAGGAGGCTCAACCTACGAGAGAATGTTGTTATGAATTTGAGATTTTAGTTCTTTAATGGTAATGATTTCTTAAACTAGGTTACGATGCAATAATTCTCATTTCTCATATCTATATTTTTTGTTAGATATTTCTTGTATTAAAGTTATAGAAGAGGGAGACCTCGTGAACATTATTAACAAGAATCTCGTGAAATGAAAAGACCAAGATTTCTCAAGTCGTACATTAATTTTTAATTTTAATATAAAGTTGTTACTCCTCCGTAACATTAATTTTAACTGTCGTTTTAATTTTAAATTATTTTTAGTCATATTTTAACATAAAAAGAAGTGTGTACGATATTTAAGAAGAGGAGGAACCTATAAGAGTGACTGAGTTGGTGTAACATGTGATATTTCAATAGAAGGTCAGAGAATCAATAAGTTGTCTATAGTTGACATATGTTCTCTTCATTTTAAAATACTTGTTATTTTAGGTATGAGAGACACGTAAATAGACAAAAAAATAAAGAATATATAAGGAATAGATTAGACAAATTACTCATTTTTATTATTATTTTCTTAATAGCCGTGTAGATACTAAAGCATTCCCTAATAATATTAGTATAAAGACAAAAATTAGCAAGTGGGTGAATTATTAATTCTAATTATTTGCGCTTACTATCCCAATTAAGATGTATATTTAATTTTACAACCTCTTGTTTTTGAAAAGGGTAATAATATTTTTTAATAAAGTTATTAATAGTCTTTTTGATTCAAAGATTGATAAATTCTTTAAATTATATTCTAAGCTAACAAGGTGATTTTTCTCTAGTTTTGACTTTGTTTTTTTTTTTAAAAAAAAAGTAATCATAAAATAAGTTATTCATAACTCAGTGACGGCAAACAAAATTTTGACGAGTTGAACCTAATTAATAAATATTATATCAACGAAATACTTTTGATTTTTTTATGGTGTTGATGATGGTTAGAGGTAGTGATTGTATGTGTCGATTGGGGGTGGTATTGGCTAATTGTCGTGTTGTGAATAATAGATTAATTGTCAATGGTGATGATAGCTGACAGTAATGATTGATGGTGATAGTTGATGATAGTGATTGATATCTACGGTGAATGATGTGATAGTTAACAATGGAAGTGAATAATGACATGATTAGTAGCGATTAACGATGGTGATTGTCGATAGTAATTGATAGTATTGGTGATTGGTGGTGACGTGTGTAAATAATAGCTAGTGGTAATGTAGGCTAATTAATTTGGTGATGGCTATATATTGCCCAAGACGGTGTTTGGTGGTTGTTGATAATACTGGTTGGCGGCAAGAATAGTTCATACTAGTGTCGAGAGTGTTACGTAGATGTACTTGTTGTTTTTTAATAAAGATATTAAGACGTTACATATCTTAATCATTAAAATTCAGTAAGTGATTTTAACATACGAAGCAAGCACACTTAATAGTTAAGATGAACAAGGAAGATTCAAATCTAAAAATTAAATGACTTTAATGATCGAAATTTAAATTACTAAAATTAGGATTTTCCTTAAACTTAAACAAATGAAAGTTGCACTAAGATAGAATGTCAATTAAACGTTTGAAAGGCACCTTCAATAGAATTAAAGAAAGCAAAATCAGCAAAATCAGAATTAATTTTTCTGAGAAATTTATAATATGATTTTTGGCTTACAACCACAAGAATTATAAGAAAAAACATTAAAAATTAAACAAATAAATAAAACAAGTTGGCACACTGAAAATTCCACTGGAATATGACTGTAGAAGTTAATTTTGACTTACTTTGGCTATACGTAATTGAATTTACTTTTTGAGCACTAACAATATATATAATTTTTTAATATTATTATTAGGTTATAATTTTCAGTTTCGGAATCATGATTTTTGTTAAGGGAATTCAAAATATAAAAAGCAAATACATGAAAAAGTCAAAAGGGATTCAATATTTATTATATATATACATAAATAATTTAATCACATATACATAATGTTATTTTACATCAAAGGGGGTCCGAATGAATCACATCCAAACCCACCCGTGATCTAAGTGGTATATTTTAGGAATTGAACCCTCACAAATAAGGTGAAAGCTCAGATAATCAATCAACTGAACTATACTAAGATCCTCCATCTAGGTAGTAGATATGAACTCATAATTCTAAAAATACAACGAGTTCAATGCTAAGAACTTAAAATTTGAATCTTGTAAAGCTTAAATAATCTTGGATACACGTTTGATTCCAAAAGTATTTATGTCTGGTAAAACTATGTGACATAAATTGAAATGCTAGAGTAATAAAGAATCCCCTCCCCCCCCCCCCCCCCCCCCCCCCGCCCTCCCCTTTCTTTTGGCCTACAATACATGAGGCTTTGAGTCTTGATCCATCAAACTGAAAATGATTTTTTAGAGAAACTTCCTAGTACGTATCAACACAACCAATTAGAAGTATATTTTGTGTGTATATAAAGTTCAAGTTTTCAATTTAAATGAATGATCATTATGTGGGGTAAGTTTTTTCTCAAAGCCTTCATTCAAAGGCTCTTTACTTTGTTTCTTCTTAGTCAAGTTTTTGCTTGGCAAATAAGCAAAAATCAAAGCCTTCTTCCCACTAAAACTTAAAGCACATATTGCATATATCATTGCTCTTCTTGTCTTAAAGCAACATTTTTATATCCTTACACACATTCACTCTCACTCATTTATAAAACCTCATAAGTTTCATTCTCGATACTCGAAACTCTCAACTCTTTCAACGTGACAATTCAAATCGCCTTCCTTATGGACGTGATCTTCTCTTCTTCTCAAGCTTTGTTGAATGCTCATAGTGGCATTACTAGCCATGTTGGATTCATTTGGCAACAAACTAGAACTCCTTTGGTTGTACAATTTCTAAGAATAATTTTATATGTTTGCTTGGCCTTATCATTTATGTTATTTGTGGAGAGACTTTACATGGGAATTGTCATAGCTTTTGTAAAGTTGTTTAGAAGAAAACCAGAGAAGAAGTACAAGTGGGAGCCACTTAAGGGTGATTTGGAATTGGGAAATTATTCATATCCTATGGTTTTAGTGCAAATACCAATGTGCAATGAAAAAGAGGTAATCATATTACTTTTTATAGTTGATATACATAAAATATACACATATTATACATTTGGGGACTATATTTTTTGTTTAAGCAGTTGAATAGACGACTATTTAGGTTAATTCGTCTATATTATTAAAATTGTTAAATTCTTATATGGTGTTTGATGAATTGTTACTTTGTAGGTGTATCAATTGTCTATTGGAGCAGCTTGTAACCTTTCATGGCCAGCCAATAGAATTTTCATCCAAGTTCTTGATGATTCTACTGACCCTACAATTAAGGTCCAATACTAAATAAGTTCAATTTATATATACTCATCGTGTAATATTCACGATTACAATCATACAGTCAGATCTCTTTCACTGTAATAGCTAAATTTTCTTTGGAACCAATTTCTATGTTATGTTAGGTTATATGTTATCTAGAGCAACATTATACGGTTACTACAAAGAGGTTATGTAACCATTCATAATAAGAGATATTAGTAACTTGTTATAACATGTTAAAATACGCTGATAGTAAAAAACGACAGGCTTTGGTGGAGCAAGAGTGCAGGAGATGGGCAAGCAAAGGAGTTAACATAAAGTATGAGATAAGAGATAACAGGAAAGGGTACAAAGCTGGGGCTCTTAGAGAAGGAATGAAGCATAGTTATGTGAAGCTTTGTAGTCATGTGGCCATCTTTGATGCTGATTTTCAACCCGAGCCCGATTTCTTGGAGCGTAGCATCCCGTTTCTTGTGCACAATCCTGAAATCGGACTCGTTCAAGGTCGTTGGGAATTTGGTAAATGTCTTTTATTTATGAAAAGTGAAGGGGAACCACATGTTGGAAATAGCCTCTTGCAGAAATGCAAGGTAAGGTTACGTACAATAAACCCAATGTGGTCTAGAGTATGACCCTACCTCAAACTCGAGCTTAGTGCATCGAGTTCAGAGGTGGAGCTATGTACAATGAAGGGGATTCAATTGAATCCCTTTTGTCGAAAAATTATACCGAGCAAATAGTCAATTTGGTTTTTGCAGTGAATGCTGATGAGTGTTTGATGACAAAAATGCAAGAAATGTCATTTGGTTACCATTTCACAGTGGAGCAAGAAGTTGGATCTACAGCTCATGCTTTTTTTGGTTTCAATGGTAGGCTATCCACACCCAAAAATAACTTTAAGATAATAGTATTGTTGTTACCGAGGACATTACCCTAGATGGGAGGGTATGGAAGGCGAGGATTAGTAGGTTTCTGAGCGTTGTCTAGTTTTTCCTACTACTATCTTAGTCTTCGATTTTATTACTTGTTGTTTCCTTTGCTTTAGTTACGTTTTATTTCTTCATTACTGTATTTTCTCTTCATACTTCTTGGGTCAGGATAGACTGCCTATATCACATCACCCCGAGGTACAACCCTTCCCTAGATTCTGCATGAACACGGGATATTTTGTGCACCGGATTGTCCTTTTACTTTCAACTCTAATGCAATATGTAGTTCCCACATAACTAGAGAATTGCTGCAGGCACTGCTGGGGTTTGGAGAATGTCAGCTCTTAATGAGGCAGGGGGATGGAAAGACAGAACAACTGTGGAAGACATGGATCTAGCAGTACGAGCCGGTTTGAATGGCTGGAAATTCGTGTATTTTGATGATCTTAAGGTACACAATCACACATATACCGATTTAAGGATTTAACTTATATACACTAACGTTGCAAAAACACAATACAAGTATCAACATATTTTAACTTATTGTGAAAACTACAGTATTGGGAAAGACAAAATGATTGGAATTTAAACTTGAAGTTGAAGGATAGACTAAAAAAGGTCAAGGGATGTTCTTTCTTATCTCATCAATATAGGAATAATTTTTTCATGATAATGGAAATGAAATGATGGTTCTACTATTCTACATTTGAGTTACTACCTCTATGTTGCTCGAGCTCTTCAAAAATGACTACGACTACCTGTTTGATCATCCAGAAATAGTGCATTTTTTGGAGGATTTAACACTGGTGCAACAACATTTTAGGAGAGTCTGACAAACATAAGTACTATACAACAACAACGACATATCCAGTGTAACCCCACAAGTGGGATCTGAGGAGGGTAGTGTGTACACAGATCTTACCCCTACTTTATCTTTTACCGTGTTAGGTGAAAAGTGAATTGCCAAGCACGTTCAGGGCCTATCGCAATCAGCAACACAGATGGTCTTGTGGACCTGCTAATCTTTTCAGAAAAATGGCAATGGAAATTGCAACTAACAAGGTATGTTATATGAAATTCACTTAAAACATGACAAAATGGAAAAACTCAACAACTGAAAAACAAGCTGTTTTTTTCATTGCAGAAAGTTTCTGTATGGAAGAAATTTTACCTGATTTACAGCTTCTTCTTTGTACGAAAGATCATAGCACACGTCGTGACATTCATCTTATATTGCGTTGTTATTCCTGCAACGATTTTCATCCCTGAAGTCCAAGTACCTCGATGGGGAACTATATACATTCCTACAGCTATCACTCTTCTCAATATACTTGGCTCCGCAAGGTAGAGCAAAGAAAAAAGATGAGTTTAACATGTATTTTTGGTTTCTTTGTTATTTATGTGTACGCGTTTATTCAGATCAATGCAATTGGTGGTTTATTGGATCCTATTTGAGAATGTAATGTCCCTTCATCGGACAAAAGCAACGTTCATTGGCCTTTTCGAATCAGAGAGAGTCAATGAATGGATCGTGACAGAGAAACTCGGAGATGCTCTTAAGACCAAAAACGGCTCAAAAGCACTGAAGAAACTTCAGTTTCGAGTTGGAGAAAGGTAAAACCTTCTCCAAATCTTTACAAGTGAAACAGAGAGTTTTGGTAGAACTAAATTGCTTTACTGTTTAACATGACAGGTTACATGTTCTTGAGCTTTTCGTTGGGTTGTACCTGCTGTTTTGTGGGTGGTACGACTATTCGTTTGGAAGGAACAGGTTCTACGTATACCTCTTACTCCAAGCTATGGCGTTTTTCGTTGTTGGATTTGGTTATGTTGGTGTGTTTGTTCCAAATTCTTGATTCAAATTCAGGACTTGTTTTGTTGGTGAAACTTTGGTTTTAAGTTACTAGTTTGTAAAATTATGAATAGTAGCTTGATATTCTTTTATACCACAATGTGTATAAGCAGCAAAGAGCATGCTTTATTTGTATTTTTCTTTTGGTTCTTTTTCATGTATTAGTGAATGAATAAGGCATAAAAAAATTCTACAATTGATTAATGTCATAGACCGTCAAAGGTCCATATAGACTTAAACCACAGTGGGTTCGAACCTAATAGCTTTTCCCCAAACTATATATTTGTACTAAGAAATTCACTGAATATTCATAAAAATATAGAATTGTGAACCCAATTTTTGTTGTTGTATATATTAGCTTGAAGCTACCGCCAGAACCCATAAACTTCAAAACCTGAATTCGCTTCCGGAGAGTCTATAGTCTGTCTATTCATACATTTGTTCGGTAAAAAGAAATCCAAGGTCCGATAAACGTATACACGAAATCAACATTCATGCAAATGTTGAAATGCAACAGCAAGTAGATCTTTTTGGGTTTCCGACCCGGTGTCTAGTAAACCCAACTAGATCTGGAGTCGTACTGGAAAGTCCAATAGGAGGTAAAGTGCTTTCTAACAAAGACGTCTCATACCCAATAGGGCTCGAACGTAAAACCTCTAGCTACAGGTTCTTGAAGAAATATAAGCAGTAGAATTAAAAAGTCTGCAGTTTCAAATATGATGAATGCACATTTCACACTTCATTTATTTGGGACATATCCAATTCCTACAGACATTTTTATCAGTAAAATACAGAAAACATATTTCAACAACACAAACAGCATCTTAGGGGGAATTTAGATTAATCTATTGAAGAAAATCAAAGGCCTCTATGTCTAGCAAAATGATTCAATTCATGGAAGTCATGAGAAATTCCTAGACTCAAATGCGAAAGAGATAAAGATGGAACTCATACTAATCAAGAAACACAAGCTTAACTGAAATTTCGAGCAGTCACGTATAGGCAGTGACGAAGCCAGGAATTCTAACAAGGAGACTCGAAAAATGTAAAATGTCTCGAGTAAGATTTAAAATTGTAAACTAGAACAACCACTATCAGTACACAAGAATCCTCCCTTATGTCAAAGGGATTCAACAATTTATATATAAGCAAGAAAATTCATATTTTTTCCTAGACAGTATTATCTTCTGATGAAGGGGATTCAGTTGAACCCCTCGCGTCCACCTAACTCTGCTACTGGATAAAGGAAGCTCACAAAGGCTATAGACTAAAGACAATGGAACTATCCAGGAGAAGTGTGTTCGAGAGAGAAGCTTAACTAGACAACAGCTCCCTCCGGAACAAAGTCCCAAATCTAATGTAAGCAGATCCAGACTGCACAAACATATCCATAATCCATTCCAGTGATAACTTGACAACCACAGATTCAGTAACAACATTTAGAGAGTTCAGTGTCACATTTCCGTTGCTGCACATTATTAATAAATCAATATTCAGACTGGATCTATTCAGACACCAAAAAACAAACCTGGAAACATCTGAACAAAACTACATCCAGAATTATCTGGTAATAAACAAATACGGAGGAATCATGCTATTTGCTTCGACTAATTTCCTGGACAAGGCAACAAGAGAATCTACAAAATTGAAACAAGCTCACTATTTTAGAGAAAAGATCATCTCAACAAATTGACTAGACCTGAAAGAAGATGTTTTGTTAACGGGATAGCTGAACTTCTTATCAATTTGATCGTCGTTGTGAACCACCTTTTATGAAAATTTAAAATCAAGACTACGTCTCTAAGGGCATCATACCCTACTTTTATTCTTCTAACTTTTGGTGAATCTTCTCTGGAATTGTCTCCAAAATGTCATAGTGACCATAACCATGAAACAATACGTTAATCGGACTCTCTCCCTCCTTCCTATATTCTTCTCCATAATTTGATATGTTTATTAAACTTCCAGAGCTTCTATCTACCATATAGACAGAAATCGAGGACCTGCAACCAAAAATTAGGAAATATATCAACAAAATCGGACAACAGATTCTAGAATCGAAGCCTTAACCAGCGTCATCCAGAGATCACATAGTACATTGACAAAGTAGTTCCATATGATATCCTAGTAGTTCTTAGAAAAGCAGTTCTCATACTTGATTTGACTTGAAAGTGATAAAGTGAAAGTGAATGTCGATGGATATATATAACTAATACTTCCTAAACACATATGAAGGACCAATTCTTTCATCATCATACAACAGAAACGATCTTGTCAAATGCATAAACTATTCCACTTCATGCTATCTTGTATTACTAACCTAGCTTAGAATCACACTAAAATGCTCTTTAACTCTTTCTCTTCTCAAACAAAAGTTTATTTATTTTCTTCATCGTTTTCTCATTTTAGCATTACTGTGTTTCATCGTGAATTTCAAAACATCAACGCCTCAAAAAACATGTATAGTTGGATTCATAAGTGCAAAGTGATAAAATGATCAATCATGAAACAGAAACATCACTCACTTGAGAACATGAGAAGCCATTAGTAGCTCTGGTTCTCCTCCCCACACATATGGCTTTTCAATTCTTTCTACGTACGCATCAAAATCCCCTTCAATAAACCTATGTAACATAAAACAACACATTCATAAACATCTAACACTGAATATCGTGAGGAACCGACTATGAAAGAAGTAAACAAACATATACCATTCAGCTTCTTTTCGCCTCTTTAACAGCTCGTCAACAACCTGTGTAAACGAAAAAATAAAAATAATTTCCGTTATCTATATTTTCAATACACAGAGCAAAAGTGCAAGAAAATGAAGATACCTGAGCTCTTAATTCATCAGCAAGTTCTCTCTGTCGATTTTCATCCGGTGCTTCCTCCCCATTTCTCAAACAAGCCATATGTGCTATCGCTCTAAATAGACACCTCCCATCCGCCGGAACCCCTGTTACATTCACCATTCAATTTGTCAATTCATCAAGCAGCTTGCAATATCAATCACCCAGAAAAACATAACCAAATCCCAAATTTCTTTATTCCAAATTTGTTCTTCAATTCAATTCAAATAATCCACTCCTCTATCAATCAAATACCAAATTTCGTTATTCCAAACTAGTTCCTCAATTCAATTCAAATAATCCACTCTTCTATCAATCAAATCCCAAATTTCGTTATTCCAAATTAGTTCCTCAATTCAAACAATTCACTCCTCTAATTCACGTATATCGATTATTCACAGAGAATACTACAACAACATATCCAGTGTAATACCACGAGTACGAATAAAGTCTGGGAAGGGTAAAGTGTAGATAGACATGAGTACAAAATAAATTCAACAATTATAACAGTATAATAGATATATACCAGTGACTCTATAGTTGGCAGAGTTTTGATCATCCTCATCTGAAGAATTTACAACAGACTGTTTATCAATCGGTACAGCTACATCAGAATTAGCATCTGGTAATAGATCAAGAGATGGCGCTGCTAAACACGAACAAACCCCAAACAACAACCAAGCAGAATCAGGATTATGTAACCATCTCGCCGGCCTAGAATCCCAATTCACATTCCACGACCCTTCACCTTTCTTAGCAAGCTCATAATGATGTTTAAACACCGTATTATTCCTCCGATTTATATCCTTCTTATTCCTCCTCCCAGCAGGAAGAATCGCATGCCATATCGACGCTGCACCACCACCTCGATTTACAGATGATGCAATACGGCAATGACTCGAATGATTCCGCCTCTGATCTACTCCTGTTCCACCTCCTCCTCCACCTCCACCTCCAGATATTAACAATAACGATGATTTGTTAGCAGTATTCGTCGCAATAAGTCTGCTATAACCCGAAGGCGTTGAGCCGTGGGCGTGTGATAAGCAGAGTGATGCGAATAGCCAAGGCTTAGGACGTGCACACAATACTCCGAGCATCACCGGAACTTTTTTTTTTTTTTCAGATTTTCGTATTGAACAAGAAATTAGTATGAGCTAAATTGGGCATTTCTCAGAAGATAGAGCTTGCTGTTATATTATGGATGATGAAGATGAAAATGCATTTGTTCAGTAGTGACGGCGAAAACTAAACCAACTTTTTTAGTGAGAGAAACAAATGATAAAAATGAGGGATTTTTAGTGAGAGAAAGTTTTGTGTGGGACCTATTTAAGCATGAGGTATGCGCTCACCTATTTATGATTCCAGATTGTTCTATTGGCCGTGCGGTTCGAGTTTTTTGACCTCTGTTTCCCGAGTCGAAATTAATTCGAGATCGTTTGATAGGATATATAAAAAAAAGAATTAAGAAATAAGTGATTGAGTTTTTTTTTTTTTATAATTTAAAATATTTTAAATTGTTAATTATGATGATTATATGTAGTTTTTATATTTATAAATTATATTTAGGAAAAACTTAAAGCTTTATATTTTAATTTATGATTGAAATTTTGAAGTTTGAATTTTAAAATTTTAGTTATGTTGGTATTAAATATGGTGTATTGTAATATTAGAGTTAGTATTGTTGAGATTAGTTTTTATTTATTATGAATACTTTTGAAGGACTTTAAGATTGATATTACTAATGTCATAATTTGCTATAAAATAAAGTTTAAAACTAATAAAAATATAGTATTGTATATTATGAATAATAACAATAATATTATTTTCTCAAAACCTTTTTCACATCCTTTCGATCATATTTGTGGAGGATATTTTGTGAACAAATACTTGAAAAAAAATTATGCAATACATGTTAATTTTGATACATCAAATCATTTACCGTATAAATTTTTTTAGTATAACTAATATAAGCATTACTAATATATTACATTTTTTATTATTATTATGCACCGTACCAAAGGAACTCATGTCTTTCTATCAATTCAAATTAATTGAAGGGTAAATTAGTCATAAGTAAAAGTAGTTGGTTCAAAAGGGTGCTTAACGAATATTCTCTGGAGTGAAAAATGCTTTGGGTTGTTGAAGAAGTTCGTACACAAACTTATAGGGAAATTTCATGCAGCTTCCAATAATTTAATTACACGTGGCTTAAGATTATTGTGGGGATATATTACTTATTTT